CAATAAACTCGGGGAATCTATGAGCGTTCACCTGGATTCATTTTGCATTTATGTTGCTTTACAAACAAGACCAGCCAATCCACGGAGATTTTCCCGAATAAACCTTGTAATGTTCACCTGTGCGTTTGATTTGACCCTTGCAGTGAAGATGGAAAAAATCTTTCCGAACACACGTCCATCAGGTAAAGGACTGGCATGTTTCCCGATTCGCCATCCATTCTCATTCGCTTTCTTCATATATTCGATGCCGAACAAAGCTCATGCAGCTGATTCCCTCGAAGGACTAGGCTCAGGAGCCTGAGGGTAAGCATGCTGATTCTACAACCCTAGGTGGTCTCTGCTGTCTCGATATATCCGCACAAATTGAATCCCGACGGCGACCTTTGCTGTTCTTTTAGTTCGCGTACCAATTGTTATCCACTTTCGCTCAGTTGGTGTAAACATGGGAACTCGGTCATATAGACTCCCTACTAGCTATTTAAAACAATTTGTTGGAATAAATTGACACATCACCACAAGGTGCGTTTTGCAGAGTTCTCATCGCCAATCAGTCAGCTTTTGGTTCACACCTACCTATTCAACCCTCGAATCTCTTTCTGTTATTATATTAACTTGCGTATGTTCCACGGACGAATGCTTCCCTTATAACTCACAGTATGACTTCCACACCAGTCATTGTTCAGCAAAAGTTTCTGCGTCACATTCTGACTATTGACGATTGAAGGCTATTTGATTGAGCCTCTTGTTCAAAAATGTATTTCTTCTTGTTTGAGCCCATTTCATCCAACCCACATCCGAACGCAAATTGCGTGCTTTTGCCCTGACAATGACCCCATTCCTTCAGCGCAGTTCACTGCATATGCTAGTCCGCTTTTTGGCCCTTCAAACACGCGCCTCAGGCGACCCAGTTTGTGGAAAGTGAGAGAGAGATAGAGAACGAGATAAGAGGAGAGGGTGTTTTGCCCCCACCTGCGACGTGAGACTGCGCGTGGGTGGAGGTGACGCTGTGGTGTGGGCGTCACTCCTCGTGGTAACGCAATGAGGACTCCGAGCTCCACATAATGGCGACCTGACACTCGCAACTGCACATAAACCAACCCACACGGGTTGAAACACACGCAGCTGCTACACCCCGGCCAACTGACAAGTCCAACGACAGACATTGTTACAAAAGTGTAAGAACGGGGCATTAAGGAGAGAGTTAACGCCGCTATCATTGCCGTTGTCTACCTACTGAACCGTATAGCTAACCCATGGCCGAAAGATCGTTTGGGGTAAATTAGACTATTAAGGCGGAGAAATACCTGTAAAGATGGAGGAACATTTTAAAAAAATATAGTGACCTAATTCAACGAAGTGAAAGGATAGCTGCTGAGTTCTTTCGCCTTGCCTGTGAGAAGAGGATGCCAATGGCTGCATCCCTTCCGCCATAACGGAAGAGTATGAATTTGTACTTTTGTGTCATTGACACGTTCGGTGACGCCTACACGGGAAT